TTGGGCCAGCGTGTCTAGCCGGACGGTTAGTTAAGGTCAAACTGTGACGAGCTGGCGAGCTTTGAAAGGGCATCAACTCGAGCATCCTCAGCCCGAGGGATCTATTGGATGTCGAAGTGCTCGAGTCGTTGAATTGCGCAATGAGGAATGAGATTTTAGGGAAAGGCTTTTTGTGCGTTTCCCACAGACGGTGCCAATCTAATGCTGCTCAATCCGAGGTAGTGCACGAACCGAGGAAGGAGATCAAATWGTCCTTGTTGGCAGGGCAGGGCCAAGCTACAAGGACGAGGCCGTGCTTCAAGATCTGTGATCAAGGAAACAGAATTCAGAGACCCGAGGAGTTATCCCCAAGTAAGAACTCCGACACTCAAGTCAATAGGTGGTGGTAGGATGGTCGGGCCGAGATATAAGGATGCCGGTCCGAGCTAAGTAGCTGTGTAGGTCTCAAAGTTGGATCCCTTACCTTGAGCATGTAGTACCTTTTTATAGCCAAAGATTCGTGTCCTATTCAGATTGGGCTTCCGGGGTTGTCGGGATAAGGTTAGTCGATGAGGTATTCGGGATAGAGTAGCTCAGTTGTGCCACGCCGACGTGGTTGAGCTAGCCCAACGTGGTCGGCCTATGCCAACGTGGCCGAGATGTGCCGGCGTGGACGAGTTAGGAAGATATGGCAGGGCGATAGTTGGGCGGCCACATGTCTCGCAGGACCAGCTCGGCCATGACCTGATCAGTATGTGAGCACCATATGTACCAAACATTGGAATTCACTGATGATCTGTATCAATGCTCCCTAATGTGGTCATAGAAGTTAACATGGAGTTCGAATCTGCGCCCCATGGCCTTGCACATCAAAAACGTCCCACACAATGGAATTTTACTGTGTATCCTCTCATACGCATTCCCCCCTTAGCCTCTATGGAGCTAAAGGGATGGTTGTTAGCTCTAAATTTTACCCAAAAATGAAAATGTTTCCTATTCCCACTCGTACTCTTAGTCTCTCAACCTGACCTATGTAACCTTGACCCATACACCTCCTCCTCCATCTGAGCTTGGCAAGAAATACGACGTCGACTAGGGGTGGAAATTTTTTACCCAACCTGCTGAACCCACCCAACTTGGCTGGATTGATCACCCATTGGGTCAATTTAAATGGGTTGGGTTGGGTTGGGTTGTGGATAACCATTGGGTTAACCATAAAGTTATAAGTATTAATTTCTTAGCCTTTTTTTTATTTTCTTTATTTGAATGAAATAATTTTTAATTAATGCATTAATTTTCTATTAATTATTGACTAAAATTAGTTTTGTCTCAGTTCAACACACTTCACCCAAATATACATAAATACAAATGAACTTGACCGGAGTTCGGACCAGCTCAACTTGGTCTAAATATGAATAGATCCGAACACCTCGGTTCAGTTCGCTTGGGTCGGTCAGCCCAATCCGAACCTGACCTGACCCAGGGCATGCCAATCTGGGTCGCTCCAGACCCTAACTTCATGTGCTTGCTTTGCCCAGTTTGGATCATTTGGTTTGTCTTGTATCTATACAACCCGACCCAAATTTGGACCAGTCCGATTTACTTCTCTTGAGCCCTCAGCCCAGGCAGTCCGGTCCCAAACCCGTGCACAAACCTGATATGGGTCGGTCCAAGTCAATCCGTCATTAACTGAATCGGTCTAGTCTAGTCCAACCGGACCAATGGAATCTAAATGGTTCAACCACTCTTGATGTGATTAGCTCGAAGACAATCCAATTAGATAGTTCAAGTTGGTCTAACCGGTTTGAACCTAAGTGGTCCGGTCAAATCCGAAACCCGAACATAGTCAAATGGCTTCATTGCTTGTGTAAAAATAGCATGCATGTAATGTGATTTGAACCTTCACCAGTTATGTAAATAGCAACTACTATTACCACCAAGGTATGACCAACTTATTTGTTAATAAGGAATTAGTTTTTTGTCTTAAGTACATAAATATAAGATTAATAGGTTTGGGCGGATTGGATTGGGTTAAAACGGGTTTGGGTTAAATCCAATCCATTTAATTTTATATAACTGGGTGATTAATGGGTTGGTGGATTATATGGATTAGATTGAAACTCAACCCAAACCAAACCCAATCCAACCTGCTCAATTGCCACCGCTAGCGTCGACAACTATTTTGGCAGACACATTAGAGGTACTCCCTGTCCCTCTCATCCAATCTCTTCTCTCACATGTTCGACCTGTTTTGTTGAGTTTATTTTTTTCAATACAAAAACATAAAAGGGAAGTGTTCCATCGATAGAGTTGTCATTGAGATCAAAGTCGGTGAGATTGGATAACGACGTGAAATTGAGTTGGTCTGAGTGTCCCATTGAGATTGGAGCTCGGGAGGTTTATCTCTGTGATGCTTCCGGCTTTGTTTCAGACGATGCCGTTCCAATTGCAGAAGCATCTGATATTGGTGAGGGAACAAAAACTGAGAGCACCAAAGAAAGTTAAACTATTATTCCACTTGACCAGAGCTTGGGCTTCAGTTGTTGTTGATGCAGAGGGCTTCAATGAGAGGGAGAAGAGAAACAGAAGAAGTAGAGGAAGGAAAAGATGAGACCTTTGAGTCTGCCACATGTCTGTGTTTTTAGTTTACCATTTGCTCTTGTTTTTACTTTGCAGCCTTCTCTGTTTCAATTTCTTTGTTTTTACTTTGCTTCTTTGAGAGCAGAAGAAAAGAGAAGAGAGAGGGATGGATGGATGGAGGTATTATAAATATGAAAGTCAAAAGGGATGGTGGTAGTGGAGAGTAATGGGGACTACAGAAGATGGGTTGGTGTGAACTGAGAGAGTATGAGCGGGAGTAGGAAACATTTTCATTTTCGGGTGAAACTTTAAATCGACCATCACAGAGTTTTTTGGGAGAATGACGGTTCAGTTGATCTAATTCACGGGCGGGGTTGGTGTATAAAGTGGGGGTTTTTGACATTTTGAATGTTTATAGCTCTGTATGAAATTCAGAAATTTGTATTGGATCCGTTCGTATTTTTTCATTTTTTTTTTTTTTGAAAGAGACTGTTGTATAGTTTAAGTGCAACCAAAGTTAAGTTAAATGGTACATCTCCTACCATTAATTTGTTAGTTATAAATGACTTTCGAACTCTTTTAGGAAAAAGGGTAAATTTCTGAAACCTCCCCAAAAGTCTTTGACCATTGCTGAAACCTCTTTTGAATTTTAGTATTTGCAATCATCTCCCCTAAACTTGTTGAAAGTAGACCCCCTATGGTAGAATCTTCTAAAAATAGACATGAAAATGTCCAAAATACCCAGAAAGTTACTATTGAGGTTGATTTTTATTAAAAAACCAAAGCAACTTTAAGAACAACAAAAACAAAGAGAATTTAAAGTTACGACTATACCTTTGTGTAAACCTGTCAATAATACCCAAAAATCCAAGCTCAATATGATATCTGATCTGACTATCTCAGATTTGGATGATGTATTTTATACAATCTACATTTGATTAATAATCAGATTAGATTCATATTTGACCCCATCTTATCCAATTAAAATTTGAATCCAATTATATTATCATATTTGTTGATTTTAATATATAAATTTTATATTATTGTATTTAAAATTATAAAATATTTTATATATTATATTATATATGAATTTATGTATATAATAAATTTAGTATGTTATATTTATATTAATTTATTATATAAAAAAGTTGAAAAGTAATTAATTTTTTTATTTTTGGGTATTTTAAAAATTAAAACGGAGTCAAATTAAATCTGAATGCAATATGAGTCTATTAGGATTAGAATTCGAATATGAGGTCTTCAAATTCAATCAGATTTCATATCAGATTTTGTTGAATCCAATCCAATTACTGCCCTACCTTTGAGTGATTGATATAAAAATTTGGAAAATAAATCAATTTTAGAAAAGAGATTGGAAGGGTTTGGGGTAGTGATTCATATGAAGAGAAAATTTAGAAAACAGACATTTTTCCTAGAAGTGCATGAGTATTTTGGACATTTAATTTTCATAGTTCTTTTTAGAATATTTTATAAGAAAAGGTTTACTTGCAACTATGTCAAAAAAACTTAGGGGAAGTTTCAACAAGGGAGGTTTCAGCAATTTATTCAAAAAAAGGCTTTGACTTGACTAATTAGGTTTTCAGTCCATAGAGGTTAAGGTTAAGGTTTTAGAAATTAGAAACCAAGGTTTTTAAATAAAAATAGCTATGTTATTAGAATTGAATAAAAAGAAAGATAATACAGGAGGAGAATCTGGATATGCTGACCACAACGCAATATTGGCCACATACGTTCACCCAGCCACACATATGAAGCATCGGTTGTATTATGGTCACTGATATCTTCAATGTGCAGCTGGACGAGCTGGCTAGTAATATCTCAGCAGATCCAAACTCCAGGAAGAGAGAAATGAAACAAAATCCCAGCCCTAAAGCTTCTTGTTTGAGAATCTTTGTTTAAAATCTCCAGCCATTCTTCTCTCGACTCTTGTTTGGATGTAACAAGCATCACTGCATCAGTAGGTTACTAACCAACTCCTTCACCCCCAAACTCAGAATCGGGTTTACTCTTCACCAAACACACTCCCATATACCATCGTTTAATGGGAATATCTTCCTATGAGTATATAACAACACAAAGTACAGGAGATGTTCCCCATGTGTAGCTGAGACACGTTGTTAGGTCGGTGTGAGGAGTAATATGTGAGAAGAGCCGGACTCTCTGGATTCCTTTCATTTGGCTCTTGGTCCAAGGCCCAACCTCTAACGAAAGAAATACCCACTGAACCAATTGGAATCGAATTTGGATCTACTCCCCATAGAGTGCCCTCACACCAGTCTTACAGCCACATCCCACCATTATTATGTAAAAAAAACTGCCACTTATGAAGAATTCGATAATCAGATCTAAAAAGAAGCTTGTTTTCTCTACACATGATTTGAAGGAATGATGAAAGTCATGAATGGTGAAATGTTACATACCTGCATATGCTGCTTTAATGGTTTTTTCCCCTGAATCCCTTACTTGGAATACAATCCTGGAGCCATAGCTTGGATGAATGGTGTAAAAGTCGGAAAGTGCCATTTCAATGCTTCCCCAGGCAAACTTTCCGACTGTCGAATTCAAGTCAAGAACCATACCAACATGAAACAAGCTAGTGTAGTTGACACTGTTGCATCCATCGACCGTGGCCATGTTGGTGTGCAAGCTTAGGGATAAACTTAAAACAAGTAGAAATAGATAGCTGCGTTGATTGTTCTTCTGTAACTGAAGCTTGCCCATGATACCCATTAAGAAATTAAGCTTATTCACCCTATGTGAGGAGGTTCACAAAAGAAGATGGTATTCGACTCTTATGGTTAAAAAGAAGGGTATGAATACACCTCTTGGAAACGGTCTCAGCAAGCAATCCGGTGGTCAAGATCAGTGATTTCCGAGAACCCATATGAGGTCGGTGTTAATCAAGAAGATGCAGAAATTTCAAGGACAGGGACTAATTAATTGATAGCTAGGAATGGTCAAATTTTTCACAATGCATTTGTTTTATGTATTTAATTTCAGAGTAGGTTAAGATTAAGACATTGCCCAATGCAATTCTACAAAATAAAGTAAGTTTTTAGAATTCAAGTCCAAAAATCCAGTCCAAACAAATTGGACTGATGCAGGGAAAAATAATGAATTAATTGTGGTTTGAACAAATCAAATTGGGTCAGGATATATGGGATAGGTTAGCTACTCCTGGTTATGGGTATATAGATGGATCTTTTTTCTTCTTTTTTCTTTTAGCAGGGGTATATCTTGAGTTTGTAGCAGACTTGGAATCAGGTTTGTAGGTTGGTAATTGTCTGAGCTTGGAGTTTCGTAGTGGGGAGGAGTTGGGCAGCAAAATTTTTCAGGCGTTTCCCTTCTCCAACTGTCTCTATTGATTCTTGGTATGGATTGTTTGCTAGTTCTGTCAATAGTGATGACGAGCTTGTCTATTTGATGGCATGGGAGGTATCCTGGGTTCTAGGAAATCAAAGGAATGAAAGGGACCTTTTTATTGATATTGGTGGGAGTAAAGTTCAAAATATTGATAATATCGATATGGCTGATACGTCGGTAAAGGTGTATCAGCTTGTATCAAAGTTGATTTCCTTTGTTTCTTTAGTTGTTTATTTAATTTGGTTTAGAGGGATCGGTTTAAGGCTTGTTTATTTTTTGAATTGGGGTTAAACCCCGAAATATTCTCTATAGGGGCGCATCGGAAAGCCCCTGATATGATATGTATATATCTAAATTTCAATCCTTGGATGGGAAGGTAAAATAGGTTATGTGATGACAGGTCTCTCGTGGTAGGGGTGGATAGAATTTTGGTGGGTTGTGGTTGTTTTTTTTTTTTTTTGTTTTATGATTATCATAAGTTGTGTATTGGAAACATCCTTCGATGATGACATCATCATTTCTGGTACTATGATCGGGAGATATCTTCAATACACGGCAGGGATGTGTTGTGGGACGTTGTGGGGGGCAGTCTTGTGGGGGTCTGATTTGATCTCTATTTTTCTCTCGTCTCTTTGTTTTGTCATAATTTTTTTTTATTTTATTACCAAAAATACAAAAACAAATCTTGTAGCATAAAAATCTTATAATTTATGAAATATGATATTAAATAATCAAATAAAAACATGTTTTTTTTCTGAGCTGAACGGTCAAGATGTTTTAATTTGATTTCATTTTTGAAAACAAAAAACACGAATAACCATTAACATGTTTTCTTTTCTGTATTATTATTATTATTATTTTACTTTAGATTTTATTTGACTCCATCAAGACAACAGCAAAATCAAAATTAAATAAAAATTTGCATACAAAATCATTTTCACTCCATGCTTTTACGCCATTAATGCGATATTTTGTCAAGCACAGGCGACATTTGTGATAAATGCATGAGAGTGGAAATGAAACGAAATGCATGAGATATTTTGTCAATCTCCAGTTTATATTTATTTTGGGTTTTATTTATTTATTTGACTTTAGGTTTTATTTTAATTCTGCAATGCAAACAAATAAAATCATACAAAAGGCAAAACAAAACTAAAACAGAATTTACATACAAAATCATTTGCATTTTCATACGTTTGCACCAATCTATGTAAGTGAAATTGGACCGCAAACGGATTAGGCCAAAAGAATTTAACACAATAAAGACAATCCTGTTCAAAATGGGATTGGATCTAATAGGCACAATAAAATAAATATATTAAATGAATACTTGATAAATATTTTGACAACTGTCAAAAGTGGATATTAATTTTTTTTAAAGATAGGTTGGGGGTATTTTAAGTGACAGGTGTCAAAAAAATTTCTTTATATTCATTCACCGTACTTGTAACATTGTGCTTACCTGATCTAAACGGACTATACAACACGGGTAGTCCATCTCCCTCACTCAACTCTTCCTTTCAACCTTTGGTGGCAGCAGGATTTGATCCCAGGTCTCTACTCTAACAAGTCAGAACCTAATCAGTTGGTAAATGGGATGCTTCAATTGAAATGTGATGAATACTAAGCTTATTATCATAAGAAATGTCAAATGCAGCCTTAATCGATTTCAACCAAAAAGGAAAGCAATGGGATACCTACTAATACTGAAACACTAACATGGATAAATTGATGAACTCCTGCGCTGGCCAACTTAACCACCCCCGTTTACTAAAAATGGAACAATGCTTAACAGTTATATCATGGTTGGTCTGGTATTAAGAGTAAGACTGTAGGAATAAAAATCCATCTCCTGAGATTCACAAAACACAGAACATGGGCTTTGGTTTTTGCTGTTCGTCCGGATCAGGTAGGCACACATGGTAAACGTAAGCACTTATAAAATGTTGACACCTGTCTTTTAAAATACCTTCGGTCTAATCTTGAAAAAAATTAAAGATAATTTTGAAAAACCTTCAGCCTATCCTTAAAATGAATTTAAAATAAATTACAAATAATTTATCACCTGCAAATTAAACATGTGCCAAGGACAAACAACTAAGGTTATCAACAACAATTGAGCCAAGGTCAGAAAAAATGTCACTCGTTGAATTTTTTATAAAAGTGTAACTAATTTTTTGTCAAATTTTTTAAATAAATAGCTTTGGCTCAATGTACGACCTGACCTAATCCAAAGCTTGGCCCGCCGGTCAGTCTGGCCCATGACACAACATGGCATGGCATGAGCCCACATAAGCCTTATCTCAGAGGAAAGCGACACAGCCCATTTTACACCTCTACCAGTAGTTTCCGCACAACTATCAAATTTCTAGCATGAACAACGACTTCAAAAAACAATGACATCACGTTAGTCTCGAACTCCTTATAGAATTTCACCAATATATTAGTAGAACCTCCGTCTTCCACGACCTAAGGCAACAACACCAATACTGTTTACATCACCATAAGAATCCACGATGCACTCTAATGTCGAAAGGAATGTTCTCTAACAATTGCAGTAATTACGAAGAAATGTAGCTCTTGGCATATAGAGAGAGAAAGAATTGTAGAAAACACGAGTAAAGATGTTTCCAAATAAAAAAGAAATTAACTTATTGGGTACCCGTTTGATGTCCATGACCAAACCCACCCAACCCAATAATTTTGTTAGGTGACCCACCCGCTAAAGACCCATGATTAACAAATACAACCCAACCCGCTAATAAACGGGTTCATTGTCACCCTTAATCATATCTCTTTCTTTTTTTTTTTTTTTTTATTTGCTAAAAAACTAAGAATGCTTTTATTAAGGCGAATTTGGAAAGATTAAAAATGCAAATATATAAAGTGCAAAAACCTTATATTTTGTATGTATTAAGCCTAAGGAAAAAGCCCCCATTAGGCAAATACAAACATAACGAAAATCACGGTGAAAAGAGGGCCTCATACGTGGCCGATAAGAAAGGAGCAATCCAGCTATGACTTGCATCACTACATTGTGGTGTCTTTTCCAGAATCGAAGGGTTGGCTTTTGGTGAATTCTGGGTCTTAGTTCTGATGTCCCTGATGACTGGAAGTAAAGGATCGAAGCTTTGCTGTTGCTCTTGGAGATGCTGCATCACCGCTTTTGCATTCGAAATGATGACTGAATTTCAGAACTCAAGTTTGCTCATCTGGCCAGATTGATGGCCCTTAATTCAGCTTCATGAGCCGAACCACAATGTAAAACCTCACCAGAGGCAGATAAGAAAGATCCCGAGCCACAAGCCAGTGATGATCACACAGGCAACGCCCGCTCTCAGAGAAGTTTTACAGAAAGCTGCATCACAAAGAATGTAGTTTTCGAATGTTGTGGAGGGCAGAATGTGCAAGTCATCCTGTGTCAGAGTAGTTGTAGGGAACTCTCTAGGCTCAGTTGACCAAACTTCCTTTAGGAGGCGATTGCATCGTTGAGATATGTAACTCTGGGGTCGGGACAGATGCCTTGGTAGACAATTTGGTTTCGTGCTGCAGGGTGAGAGGATAGAAACCAAGAGTTTATCCAGTTGAGTGCTGAATCCTCTGCAATTTCCTCTGTCCTAATTCCTAACGGACAGAGGAACCACGTAGCACGGACCACATCACATCTAAGAAGCGTGTGGTCGATGCTTTCTTCCTCTTTCTCGTAGATCGGACACATAGAGGAGTCGTAAAGATTTTGATGAGTGGCTAGAGCCCCTACCCCAACTCTACACAGAAAATGTTTTATCTTTGTTGGACTTTTAATCTTCCATAACTTGGTTTCCTTCCAAAGCCGACTTGTAGCCAGATATCACTGTGGCGTATGTAACACTGATTAGTCAACAAGTGGAGATGCATGGGTAAGGGGAAAGATCAAACTTGTCTTGCCCAAGGACATCAACTTGGCATGTCGTGACTTTTGGTGGGGCCATACACAAAAAAACAATAAGGTTCGTCTCTTTGCATGGACAGCTATGCTTAATGCTAGAGAGAGTGGCGGTTTGTATTTTTGTGCTTCTAGGATGAAAAATCTGGCCTTTCATTGCTAAATTAATAAGGGTGGTTTCTCAATAATAGGTTTTCTCTTTAGGCAAGAATTTTGGAGGCAAAATACTTAAAAGCACATATTTCATTATACATTTTCGGATATATAAATGTAAATTTTTAGTTAGATTCAGATGATAAAAAGCTTACATTTGGGTATAATTTTTTATTGGAATCTTATGTTATTAGTTGGAGAAATAGTAAATAGGGGTCCACAATAGATTCCATGATCAAAGATAAGTACATTGTTTGGTAAAATTGACAAGAAAGCGGCT